AACGCATGGCATCTCAGTGGCGGGGTGGGCTGGAGTGCTAACTCATCGTGTCGTCGAGTGCTGGCCACGTTCCGCGATGGATCACAGCGAGTGCTAGAGATCGAGAACGACTTGGGCATCACTGCTTCGGATACTCGCCGAATGATGGAGAAGCTTCAAGCTCAGGGACACAGAGATATTGTAGGGATCTCGCTAACTTACTAAGTCAACGGTTTGTTCTTCGAGTCAATCTAGGCAGATACCATCAATCGAGTTCTTTTCTTCCACAGCATGAAAATCAATACGTCGAGGTCTTCCACAATGGTCGATAAGCTCAAGGTGGAACTAAAGCAGGCGTTGCGATCGTATATGGATGGAATGCTCGACAAGATATGCGTTGATTTTGAAGAGCATGTTGATCTAAGTTGTTCTCAGCCTTCCACCGCGTTGGAAGGTGCAGAATTTGATAGATATTTCGACTGCTGTCGTCAACTGGTCAAGTATATCGCCAAGACTATGGACACGTCTTCGGATTTCGTCGAGAAAATGGACTGCGTCATCCTTGCATCTAGGAACGACGCGTCTAAAGCGATGCTAGACGCTGTGATGAAGCAAGACGTCTGGTTTTGTCGTCGCAGGGATATCCACTTTAACAAACAATTCGACGTTGAAAAATCTTCAGCGTCGACACAGACGTTGGGGAAGAGGAAGCCCCTGCAGTCTAAACCGTCTACGAAGCGCTATCGGATGGATAAACCTCCTACTGCTAAGTTCATGGATGCCTCCAGCTCACCTGAAGAGGAAATGTTGGTCGATTCGGATGCAGAGCTACAAGTAATTGAAATCCTTGAATCTGAAGACGAGGACAACGATGAAGCTGAAGATGATATTGAATCTGTCTCTATGGAATCTGCAGTAAATGAAGAACAGGAAGAGGAGAAAGATACAACTGGTAGTACTGAAGTTGTGAAGAATCTTTGTCTGCTTAAACCGCAGTATCCGGGGCAACTCGAGGCCATTAGAGCATGGATTCACGATCTGAATAAGTTGCTTGATGCGAAATGGTGCATACCTCCTGTGGGATATTTCTGCTCCAGAAATTGCGCGAGGGGTGAGGCAGTTGTGAACTGTATGTGGCAGAGTATCGAAGTCCACCTCGATGAATGCCAAAACGAACGATGCGAGCTGAAAACTCGAGTCGAATTGGGTCAAACGAAGCATCTTATCGAAGTCAAACAACTTGAGATATGTGGAGTACGCCACGATCTGAAAGAAAAGAAGGTGAACTGGTCCATGGCAGTTCACTACTACGACGAGAGTTGTTGGGTTGGAGACCAGGCGTCACATGATTCGGAGATCACGATGCTTGAAGACATGTTGAAGAGAAAGAGGCACGAACTCTCTATAGTGGAGTGCAAGAAGAATGCTCTTTGTGCACGAATGGATACCATCAGGCTCGACTGGCGTGACGAAGACTCTGATAATCATGGAGGCAATGCGTTGCACTACATTCGTAAAATGTAGCCATCTTGATAAACCATAGTTTTGGAGGGAAAAAAAGTGTTTTGACCAAAACTACTGTTCTCTTTCGACCTTACCATAGTAATTCTTCACGAAAACCCTGTCCCACCACCCCAAAGACAAGAAAACAAAGCGAACATGGTTGATGAACCCCCGCTACTCTTGGTAAAGCTGGCACTACCTCCCAAACTTCAGGGTCTTCACCACGTGCTCCAGGTTATCAGCGGCTTTGTTATCCCCAACACCATCGATGGTGCCGTGTACAACAACCTTCAGCGCATTATCCGAGCGTACGAACCTTTTCGTCCCTATACAGCTGGGGCAATGGATGGAGCTGCAGCTAGAGGACGCGCTTCGCTCCTGCAGTGGCTCCATTTCAACAGAAGCGAAGGCTGCTCGACAGCAGCTTTCGTCGGAGCAGCCTCCAATGGCAATCACAACACGCTCAAATGGCTACATAAGTATTATCCATCGCAGTGCAATCCCGATAGAGAACTTGCTGCTGCAGCTGGATACAATCAAGGTCGAGTGATACGATATCTACAGAGGATTCATCCTTATTCCAACCGAGATGCTGGTATTGTGGTACAAGCGGCCGCAGCTAATGGCCTAATTGAATTGGTGGAGAGTTATCATCCGCATACTTACGACGTTGTAAAGCCTTTTCTCGCTGCAGCACAAAATGGCCACGCCGCAGTATTACGGGTTCTTATTGAGAGACATCGTACGGTTGAGCGTAGGGGACGTCCTGCACTTGCAAATCTCGAAAAACCAGCGTTGAAAATGGCTGTGCAGGGAGGTCACGGTGGTGTTGTTGAATTGCTGATTGAACACTACAGAGAAGCTGTTCTCACGGATGAATTGG